TTGCTTCAAGAAGACCATTGGGGAAAAGATCAGATTTTGAGGTACGTGTTGTATGAAGTCGATTTTTTTCTTCCCTAACATTCATCATCTAATGCACAGCGTCTCTTTCCCTTGATTTTTGTTGTGTGTTTTGTTCTGTTGTTTTTTGCCTGATAACACTATACATAAATGACAGCACAGATTCCTTTACTTTGTGTTTTATTCAAACTTCTGACAAGTTGTGAATTATAAACTTGTTCAGTTACCTTGTATCATTCAATTGCTGGCGTGAAGTGTCCCCCTCGTACCAATTAGACTACCGGTAGTTACTGTAAAATGTGAATTTTTTTAGCCAATCTGTGACCTTACTAATTCATTCAAGCATTGAATTGGGTCTTGTCAGGTCTGTATACTGGTTTTATTAGTTCCCTTCGAACATTGTCTGAAAAAGGAACTTATGTTTTGGGTTCTGTGTGTCTGACATCACCTTTTCATACATGCCTAAACTGATTTCTTTTTAAAATTTGTATAAAGGCTAGTCATAATGGTCACATATATACATATTTTTCTCATTGACTGGCTAATGGCCATTTGAATACCAAAAAACAACAAAAAATTACCATTTTATCAACCACTTCTCAGGCATGCCCCACTCAATTTCTTTCAAACTTGGTAATAACCTTAATCTTGGGGATTTACTGATGATGCCATTCAGTAATATAATTATTTTTTTTTGGCAGTGGCATTTTCACAGATTTTGTTACTTTGTCCATATCATCATAGATCAAGGTCAAAGTATATTGTTGACAAATTAATATGCAAATTAGGTTTGTGAGCTTTGTTGCACAGTCTCAAACCATCAAATTGCAGTCACAATAGACACGACAATGGCTGCGAGTATAAGAAGAGTCAATTGAACTGCCGTGAAAATGATTTCATTGATTGTTATAGGGACGGAATATTAAATTCAACACAAAAGACACGCAAAGATCGCAGCCCAGTAGAGAGAGCAGCAGCACAAGTGAAAAGAAAGTAACACTATAATGAACTGCCAGTCATGGCGTCGAATTTGTATTTTCGTTTACAGTTCTGAAATACAGGAGTTTACACACTTTATTTCTTATATTTTACAAAAACTTAAGACCGAAATGCAGAACCATGATTAGAAGGTGCCCCATGGACACGGTTATAAACAGCTTTTATGAAATCTTCTGACGCAAAACGGGTGAAAAAAATTACCGTCTACTGTTTCAAATCACATTGTTTGATTTTTGCTGGCTCGGTTTATATTATCACTTAAACAGTCCCAAAAAAACAAAAACATAGTTGATTCATTAACACATAAAGGCACTTACCTGAATCCAAATATACTCCAAAAGAAATAAGTTGATAAAATACGGCGATTTGACGGTCAATATGTAAATAATTGCGAAAACAAGTTGCCAGCACTGTTGCTCTGTGAAAGACAGATTCTAAAATGGCGCCCGGAGAGCATTTAATCAAACTTTACGTAACGGCTATTGTTTCCAAGAGACATTGCACGGAACTTCCGTTACTTTCCTTTCATGTTTGCCGCAGTCGCGTGTCCCTCTTTTCTATTGTCTTTGTTTACACACAGCTGGTAAGATGTGTGCACTGCTGCTTTTCTAGATGAGGAAGTGTATAGCAAAGACAAAACAATCGCTTTTGAAACAACAAATTTTGAATAAACAAAAAAAGTACATGAATGTACCACTTCAAAGTAATTATGTGTTAACAGAATAAAAACTTACAATAAATTTCTGTAATATTTTTTCTCAGCTTTGTCATTGAAAGGTGTCTG